AAAAAATATTTTAATATATTATTTAACATTTAAAATTATTAATTTTTTTTTTTAAATGAATATTATTATTTAAAATAATTTATTCAGCAAGGACAATTTTTTAAATGTTTCTTAATCATGAAAAAAAAAATATCAAAGTTTCCACAAAAATAATAAGCAGCACAACTGTTTTCAACATCAATAATAATAAGAATTGAACACCGCATCAGCATATTACAATGATTTCTGAAGGATCATGTGACACTGAAAATATGAGTAATGGCTGATGAAAAATCAGCTTTGCATTACAGAAAAAAATACATTTTAAAATATATTCAAATAGAAAACAGTTCTTGTATATTGTAATAATATTTCAAAATTGGAGTGTTTTACAGTATTTTTAATCAAATAAATGCAGCCTTGGGCCTGAGCATAAAATACTTACTAACCCCAAACCTTTGAACAGTAGTGGTTCTGCTTGTGTGATGCTGCTTTAAGTTGTAGATTTAATAGTCACCTGATAGATTGATATTTTGGCATCCAGGTCATCTGCAATCCGGGTAAGACTGAATCGAGCGAGCTCTACTGGGTCACTGGGGAGCACATGTGGGACGGGGAAGGGATTTGCGTGCTTGAATTTGGGAAACCAGTACATGATACGCTGGTACTTCCTCATAGGATGACTCTTTTCCCCAAATATCTGAGCCAGCAATACCTTGGTCTCTACATTCGGCATGAGACCTGGAAATATTAGGAAGACAAAGAATTGGCAAATCATTAAAGCAATGCATCAGTTTTTCTTTCTCTCCTACAAGAGCGCAAACACACACCATAGATCTCCATCTGCTCCAGCAGCTGTACTCCACACTCTTGCTGTCGTGGGTAGTGGTTAAACATCCTCTGAATGAAGTTCCGTGGAACAAGCACCTCTTTTGGAAACACATCCAGGAGTTTGTTGTAAACAGTAAGGTCTCGTTCTACTCCAAATTCTGGCATCTTCTTCAGAGCAGCATAAATAAACTCCACATGGCCTCTTCGTCGAATGTCCTTCTTGCTGAAAACATCCACGACCCTGTTAAAATCCGCCTTGGTCTTTGAGTCTCTAGCAGCTCGCTCAAATAAATCATCATGTGTGACTAAACGTTTGTCTTTATTAAGCGTCTCATCTTCAACTGTCTTTTCAAGCTGTGTCTGGCTTGGACGACTCGTGGAGCATACTGCACTGCAGTGGAATGGCCTCAGAAGCTTAAGAAAATCGGACAGAAAAACACAGGGCATTAATACAGGCACACAGTCTATAAAGCAGCATTATTCAGAGGTAAGCAGGTACCTGGCCATAGTTGTGCTGTGATCCAGGGGTTTGCAGATGTGCTCCAGCAGGTAGGATTACTCGCTGTACAGGTTTCCCCAAAAAACGTGCAACGTACCCAATACACTGGATCCGCAACAGATGACGAGGGGCATTCATGATTATGACATCCCAAACCACAGCGGAAGAATTACAAATGTGCTGAAATGAGCCTAGAAAGGAAACGGAAAAATATCAGTGTCAATATAATTGTTATGTAATAATGTATGCAATTGTTTTGTACATAATTTATGCAATGTATATCTATCTATTTATCTATCTGTAATAAAATAATGGAATAATCACATTATTGTTAGATCTATCTATATATCCATGTTAGAGTAGTGATATAATGCTTAATAATCACATTATTGTTAGACCTATCTATAAGTAATTAGCAATTAAATTAAATAATGCAATAATTACATTATTGTTAGATTTATCTATATATCCATGTTAGAGTAATTATATATATGTGTGTGTTCGTAATGAGTAATTATTAGTGCTATAACGCTTAATTA